AAGATCAAGCCCCCCATCGGCCTTCACACTCAGCATGGAGTCTGCTTGAGATTCTCTCTCTCCCTCTCCCTCTCCCCCCTATTCTCTCCCTACCTCTCACTGTCTCTCAAAATAATTTAAATAAAATCTTTAAAAAAAGAAATGCAAAGACATTCTGTGCTCATGGATTGGAAAAGCAAATATTGTTAAACTGTCTATACTATTCGAAGCTCAATCTGGACATTTAAAGCAATCCCTATCAAAATACCACCAGCATGTTTCACAGAGCTAGAACAAACAATCCAAAAATGTCTGTAGAGCCATAAAAGACCCCAAATAGCCAAAGCAACCCTGAAAAAGGAAAGCAAAGCTGGAGGCATCACAATTCCAGACTGCCAGTTATATTACAAAGCTGTACTAATCAAAACAGCATGATACTGGCACAAAAATAGACACATAGGTCAACAGAACAGACAAGAAACCCCCAAAATGTATCCACAACTATCAGTCAATTAATTCTGGACAAAGCAGGAAGAATACCCAGTGGGAAAAGAATGTCTCTTCAACAAATGGTGTTGGGAAAACTGAACAGCAACTTTCAAAAAAAAAAAAAAAAAGAAGAGGGGCGCCTGGGTGGCTCAGTGGGCTAAGCCTCTGCCTTCGGCTCAGGTCGTGATCTCAGGGTCCTGGGATCGAGTCCCGCATCGGGCTCTCTGCTCAGCAGGGAGTCTGCTTCCCTCTCTCTCTCTCTGTCTGCCTCTCTGCCTACTTGTGATCTCTGTCTGTCAAATAAATAAATAAAATCTTAAAAAAAAAAAAAAGAAACTGGATCACTTACTTACACCACACAGAAAAATAAATTAAAAATGGATGAAAGACCTAAATGTGAGATGTGAAACCATAAAAACTGTGGAAGAGAACACCAGCAGTAACTTCTTGCCATGGGTAGAAGCATCTTCTTTCTAGATCTGTCTCCTGAGGCAAGGAAGACAAAAACAAAAGTAAACTATTGGGACTAAATCAAAACAAAAGTCTTCTACACAGTGAAGGAAACAACCACCAAAACTAAAAAAGCAACCTACAGAACAAGAGAAGATATTTGCAAATGACATATCTCAAAAAGGGTTAGTATCCAAAACATCTAAGGAAATTATAAAACTCAACACCCCAAAAACAAATAATGCAATTAAAAAATGGATGGAACGGATGCCTGAATGGCACAGTTTGTCAATAGTCTGACTCTTGGTTTTGGCTCAGGTTGTGATTCCAGGGTCGTGAGATCAAGCCCCACGTCAGACTCCAAGCTCAGCACAGAGACTGAGTGAGTATATATAGTGGAATATTACTCAGCCATCAAAAAGAATAAAATCTTGCCATTTGCAAAGACGTGGATGGAACGTATTATTCTAAGCAAAATAAGTCAGAGAAAGACAGATACCATATGACTTCACTCATATTTGGAATTTAAGAAATGAAACAGATGAACATAGGGGAAGGGAGGGGGAAAAAAAACGAGATGAAAATTGAGAGGGAGGCAAACCATAAGAGGCGATAAACTCTAGGAAACAAACTTGAGGGTTGCTGGAGGGGAAGTGGGTAGGGGACGGGGCAACCGGGTGATGGGCATGAAGGAGGGCACTTGATGGAATGAGCACTGGGTATTGTACTCAACCCATGAATCACTAAATTCTACCTCAGAAACTAATAAAAAATAATTTGATTTATTATAAACTACAATAAAATACAAACAGAAACTTTCCAATTTTTTTCCCCAGAATACCAGTGACTACTGAAGTAAGTAATTTAAGAAAAGATTCCTGAAATGGACCTGAGTGTCCCAGTGCAGTACGATCCAATTTTGAAACAATGTGCAGGGGTCACTACAAACCCCGCGCCACCAGCAAATCCTATCAACAATTTGAGTGTTTTACTTAAAACGGAAAAGCAGCTTGCAGTGACATCAGCTTCAGGAAATAAAACACCTGTAAAGCATGAAAATAAATCAATCTTTTTAAAAAAGTTAAAAATGGGCAGAAGACATGAATAGACATTTCTCCAAAGAAGACATCCAGATGGCCAACAGACACATGAGAAGATGTTCAACATCACTCAGCGAAATGCAAATCCAAACTGCAATGAGTTATCACATCACTCCTGTCTGAATGGGTAAAATCAACAACATAAGAAACAACAGATGTTGTGGAAAATGTGGAGAAAGGGGAACCCTCTCGTACTGTTGGTGGGGATGCAAACTGGTGCAGCCACACTGGAAACAGTATGGAGGTTCCTCAAAAAGTTAAAAATAGAGCTACCCTACAACCCAGCAATCACACTGCTAGGTACTTACCCAAAGAATACAAAAGTACTAATTCAAAGGCATACAGACCCCAGTGTTTATAGCAGCATTATCTATGATAGCCAAATTATGGAAACAGCTGTATGCTAACTAACTGGAATTTAAATAAAAGTGTAAAAAAAAGTGTGGGACTGGCAGAGGATTAGATACATAGATCAACAGAACAGAGTAGAGTCCAGAAATCCACAAATATGGCCGACTGATTTATGACGAACCTGCAAAAGCAATTCAAAGGAGAAAAATGATCCTTTGGACAAATGGGGTTGGAACAAATGGAATTCCACATGCAAAATAATAACCCTCAACCTACTTCTCACCCCTTATATAAAAATTAATGCAAAAGAGATCACAGGTCTAAATGTAAAAGCTAAAACTATGAAACTTACAGAATCGAAAAAAATCTTCATGACATAAGGATCCAGCAAAGAGTTCTTAACCATGACACCAAAATCACCATCCATAAAGGAAATAATTCATACACAGGACATTTTCAAAATTAAAAATTCTTTCTCTGTGAATACACTGTTTAGAGAATAAAAAGACAAACCACACAAACTATGTATCCAGCAAAGGACTTGCAAACCACACAAACTATGTATCCAGCAAAGAACTTGCACACAGAATACATAAAGAACTCTCAAAGCTCAGTAGTGAGAAAACAATCTAATTTTAAATGGGCAGAAAAGCGGATTGAACACTTCATCAAAGAGGATATACAAAAAGTAAATAAGTGTATCTAAAGACCTTGAACATAATTGGCTATTAGTGAAACCCAAATTAAAGCCATGATGAGATACCAACTATACTGCCACAATGACTAAAATTAAAAATTCTGACAATACCAAGTGCTGACAATAACGTAGCAACTGGAATTCTTATACATTGCTGGTGGAAATGAAAAATGATTCAACCATTCTGGAAGACAATCTGGCAGAGTCTTAAAAAGTTAAACACACACTTATCATGTGACCCAGCAATCCAATATTTATTCTAGAGAAATGAAAACCGATGTTTACACAAAAACCCGTGTATGAAGGTTTAAAGTAGTGTTACTTGTAACTGTCAAAAACTGGAAATAATTCCAATGTCTTTCAACAGAAGAAGGGACAGACAAGCTGTGGTGCATCAATATCATGGAATACCACCCAGCAATAAAAAGACCTGACACACACAGCTTGTCTGAATCTCCAGGGAATTATGCTGAGTAAAAATATCCTCAGTGTCAAAAGATCACATACTGTACGATTTTTTTTTTAGGATTTTATTTATTTATTTGACAGAGAGAGATCACAAGTAGGCAGAGAGGCAGGCACAGAGAGAGGAGGAAGCAGGCTCCCTGCTGAGCAGAGAGCCCGACATGGGGCTCGATCCCAGGACCCTGGGATCATGACCTGAGCTGAAGGCAGAGGCTTTAACCCACTGAACCACCCAGGCGCCCCAGGATTTGATTTTTATCTCATTCTTGAAACAAAAAAATTTGAGAAATGGAGAGTGGTAATTCCTAGGAGGCTAAGAATGGGAGGATTAGAGAAAAGGGATGGATTTGGCTATAAAAGGGCAACATAAGAGGTCCCTGTGGTGCCGGGGCTTGTCTTAACCACAGCAAAGTCAACATCCTGGTCATGACATTCTACTATAGCTTTGTAAGATGTACTACTGGGGGAAACAGGTAAAGGATACATGAGATGTCTCTGTATTTTTATAACTGCACATCAATCGATTATCTCCAACGAACATTTAATTTTTTAAAAAAAGGTTACATACATAGGATTCCTTTTATATGACATCCTGGAAAAGATAAAAACTGTAGTGATGCAGAACATATCTGTGGTTGTCTGAGGTTACAAGTGGGGAAGGAGAGAACCATGAAGGAGTAGCATAAGGCATTTTTTTGCCTGATGAAACTATTCTCTATCCCATAGATTAGTTACACCCATCTGTATTCATGAAATACCTTCGCCTCAGCACTGATATTAACAACGCCAAATGGGTTCATATTTATTGTACTGGGCAGTGACAACAAATTCAATATTCCTGCGCACTAATTTAATTTTTTTTTTTTACTGAAAGAAAAAAGATGTGGCTATAAGCACATCTGCAAGACTCTGTCTCTTGGCCAAATGAGAATCCAAAGTCTGACTGATAAACTTACAGGAAAATGATTTCAAGAAAAGCCAGTTCCCTAAGACATTTCGTTCCCAAATTACACCTTGACGTTATGTCACCAGCTCACTGAGGAATGCTGTAAGAAATATCAGCAGGAAACCAGGGACTGCATTTATCACCAGGCTGTGCTTAAAGACAATTCCACCATCCACAGGAAGACTCTGAAAAGAAATGCCATGGAAGGCAATTACAGGAAACCTCCACTTCCCCGAGGACTTGGTGTGCTCTCTCCTGATGAGCAAGGTGAGCCAGCTTCCTAATTAAGTACCCCTCTGGCAGCCAGAGGCTCAAAGAGACATCTGTAAGTCAATGTTAGTACCAGTCACACCCTAAGTCCTCCACATGTCTACACTCTAACTTGGCCTTGCTGCTGTCTCTCGTTTTTCCTGATCCCAATGCTTATTTACAAATAATTTCCTATTTTATGTCAGGAATTCCTCCAAGCTCATCACATCCATGGTAAAAAAAAAAAAAAAAAAGGAACAGACCACATACTTACCTGGGGTTTGGCCATTTCCTGTTCTTCTTGGGAAAAGGCAGAGACGTGCGAAGGCTGAGCTGGAAGAACGGAGAAGTATACAGAGTATGAGAGAACCCATCGGGACTATCTGCCTAGAATTATCTGCCCAAGAATACCCTCCCATAAGCTGGGCATGAGGCCACTCTGTGGAAGTGTGGGCAACCGTGTGGTTTTTAACAACCACCTGTGTATTCTTGATTCTTTTCCAAACGTGAGCATCTAACACAAAAGGGTTTTGTCTGTATACACTTGTGTACTGACCCAGAAATAGTATTTCTAGGCATTTTCCTTAATGAAATAATGTACTCTAATGCATCACAATTCCTCTGTAAGTACCTTCATCTCAGCGTCGACTTTATGAATGCCAAAGTTAATCCTGTATGACTCAAAATAAGAAGATTAATAAGGAAATACAAGGGGTGAAATGCTACATAGCTATTTAAAAGACTGTTGTATGCTTTAGCATCTGTGTACTTTTCTGTACACATACCTAAATGAAAGTTTTTAACACGTCACAGAATAAATTAAGTTGAATCACAGTCAACTTCTAAATGAAAAAAAAAAAGGTAGGTTATAAAACCGCAGGAACCCACCACAAACTCTATGTGAAATGTTTAAAACCCCAGAGCCCTAAAACACTAAAACTGTCTAAGAATGGATGTATAGACAAAGGGGGATAAAATGAATTCCTTTTGATTTTCCTTCGCACTATTTTTAATTAATCTGTAATTCAAATGCGCTAGTATTTGTTAAACGCCAAGAAAACTGAATTTTTGGAAAACTATCAGCCTCCTGACGTTTTAAGCCTGATGATCCACCCCCAGACCCCGCAGCACCAGGCCTCGCCCACCCCCCTCCCAAGTCCCAAGCTCTCAGCTCGGGAGATGAGTCCTCTCAGGTGCCTCTTCCTCCTCCTCACCTCACTGGGGCCGGCTTGCCCAGGAGCCAGAAGGAAGCCTTCGGGTGCAGATTCACTTCGGCTGAAGCATTCACATCAGGCCCCTACCCTGGGGCGCGGGCAATGGGAGAGGGGCACGGGGAGAGGCGGGGGGCGCCTAAGGAGGGGCCTGAGGAGTGCGTATGAACCCTTAGCGCAGGTCACTGTGCTGGAAAATGTGTAAAAGTCAACGTTTAACAAGCCCCACTCAACCCTGACTAGTCCCATAACTTTGTCCACCATCGTGCCCAGAGATCGTCATTCGGTCTCCCATCACTCACCCCACAAGTCCCACCATCAATGACCCCCCCAAAATCCCCCTTCTTTCGTTCCCCCCGAACTCCCCATCACTCCGCCCATCACCTCTAGCACTCGTCCTCTCAACCCCTCTCTCTCTCTCTCTCTCTCTCTCTCACCCTCTCGACAATAGATTTTCTGCTCATTGCAGAGACCAGTGCAAGAACTGGCCCCAAGAAGCACTTCCGCTTCAGGACCAACTCAGGCTCCGCAACCTACAGTGTTGCAGCGGTTGGATGTGCGCACGCTCAGTGGGGGCTTTGAGCCCGCGTCCGCCAATAGTCAACACCCGTCCCCCTCCCGCCCCCCTCCCCCTGGCCCCACGCGAACGCGGCGGGGCCGCGGCGCCTGCGCGGAGGGAAGATGGCCGCGCCCGCGCGGTCCCTGCTTTGAGATGGCCGCGCCCACCGGGGCTCTACGCCTCGAGGGCTGTGGTGTGGAGCAGGTGTCTACTTGGTTCTACAGAGACCGTCATGCCCGAGGCTTCGAAAACCATTTTCCTTATGATGGGGAGGGGAACTGCCCAACTGAGGAAAATTCTGGCAGGCGGGAATTTGGTGTCTTGAACCCGAAGGGCAGCGTCGGGTTTACAGGTGTAATTGAACAGGAAGACGGGACGCGTGGCAGAATCGCCCAGCGTGCACAAAGGCCGGGAGGTTGGGAAAGGTCACACTGGCTCCATCCAGTGGCTAAAGCCGGGAGTTTTGAAGGACAGCATACAAACAAGCTGAAGGATACATAAACGGCGACCTAGGACACACACACCCCGCGGTGAAGCCAATGTGTTAAGCAGCAGCTGACGGGTTCTTTTCTCTGTATGGGCAGGAACGAAATCCTTTCGTCGGAGGTGACAGTTTTGCTGACCAAAAGGAGCCGGCCACACAAATAGCCGAAGAAAAGAGCCTCCTGGCCGGGAAGTGGGACCAATTTGGCGTGTTGGGAGGAATGGAAACTGGCAGTGTGTTGGGAGCGTAGGAGGTGTGAGGGAGGGAGGGGGGGCAAATGCCGTAGGGCCTCCTCTGCCAGGAACAGAGCTCATGCTTCATTCTAGACAGAATGGGGAGCCGTGAGAGGGGTTAGATTTTTTTAAAGACCCATCAGAAGCAATCTCGAATTCTTGTTTATTGCGAGTCGTGCACCACTAGAACATGAGCTTCTCCTGTATGACAGACAGTATTCCAGACATTGGGAACACAGCAAGGAAGAAATTGTTCTCAAACAAAACTGATGGAGACAGCCTGGTTATAAACCCCCATTCACCAGCTTTGTAACTAGGGCAGAACTCTTCTCTGTGCTGTTTCCTCATCTGTAAAAGGGGGACGATGACAAACGAACTGGTAATTGTAAAGATTTAGAACAATTCTTGGCACACAGCAAGTGCTACATGTTTTGTATTATTATTTAAATAAAATCAGGCATCTATATATATTAAGCTTTTGTTAATCAAAAGGAAAAAATTCAAAGATAACCTGCAGGCTGCTTTGAAGAACAGACAACAGAGGGCAAGGGCGAAAGCAGGAAAAACTGTGGCTTCTGCCACCAGGCCCAGCAAGTGATAATGGGGGCTCAGATCTAGCTCAGTATCTCCTGTGTGCCACACACCGTGTGAAGCACATGGTATGACCTGCCTCACTCAGTCCCCACTATCTGTGAACAGTCCCATGGCCTCTACTTGTCAGAGGAGGAAACTGAGTCCCAGAGAGACTAAGTAACGTGCGCATGGTCACACAGTTTTCCAAGGTTGGATCCTTAACTTCTACCCAATAATATTCTTTTGTTTATTCGCTATCCCACAGAACTTCCGGAAAGAATCTGCAGGTCCTCATCCCAGAACCATTAAAACTAGACAAGGATTTTTTTTTTTCCAGAAATCTAGTTGGAGCTTCTTGGCAGCCAAAGCAAGGAGAAAAAACAGAAGACTAGCTCCTATCTCTTGCTCCCCGAAGGATCAGTACTTCTTGGGTACAAAATATGTCAGTGGGAAATAGGAAGGGCCAGACTGTAGGGTCCATCCCAGCCTGGCCTCTTCCATCTTACAAACATCATCCCCCCACCACCTTGTACACACACACCTGTGTATAGAAAGAATCCTTTAGGATTGGGAGGTATTAGGGTACAGAGATTGCCAACTCCAGAAATGTCCCTGAGCCACCCCTCAAGAACCGTCCCAGGGTTCACAAGGCACATTGACAACCTATGTGAGGCCAGCTTTTCTGTGCTGAGGAGCTGGACTCTCACTCTGTGCTGGGCATCCTCTGCCAACAGTCCCTGCTGGAGCGACCTCCTCACACAGTGGTCTAAGCAGCAGGTAGCTAGCTGAAGGGGTGTGGGAAGCTGACAGCAGCTGGTCCCACCACAGAGTTTGTACAGTGTGACACTCCCACCCACAGTTCCCCCACCTCACCAGTGAGTGGTCACCACGATTGCTCTTAAGATACATTTCATCAGGGGGTATGTGGCTGGCCCAGTTGGTAGAGCAGGTGACTCTTGATCTTAGGGTCATGAGCTTAAGCCCCACATTGGGTGTAGAGCTTACTTTACAATATAAGATATATTTCATCAAAACTATAGAAGCGTGGCCAATTACAAGCAGTGACTTGGGACCATAAGGTAGTGGGTGAGTTTGTCAGAGCAACAGCTCACAAGCCAGTTCTCTGGTGACCTTGAAGCTGGCATGCTAGCCCTGAACTACCTGCTTCCAAGGGAGGAACCCCCTTCCATTCTTTTGAAGCCACTGGTGTTTGTAGTACATGCCATCACTGGTACATGAATCCTGTCAGACTGTTCTGTCTTGGCCAATGTGAGTGTCACTCAATGGGAGACATATGGGACTGGCTGGGGGCAGGGGTAAATAATGGTGAATGAAGGGCAGATTGGGAGTGAATGGTGGCAAGGAGAGACAGAGGGGGATGGGAGGGAGGTGCAAGAGTAGAGTGGAATGAAAGTGGGTAGTGTGGAGCCACATGAGGGAATGCCTGTGCATTTGATCTTGAATTAATCAAGATTATGGATGAGACTGAGTAAGTGATAGGAAATTGAGGATTGGGCTAAAGTGACCAAAAGTGAAAGTAGGAGCAGACTGAGTGAATGGAGCAATTCACACGGTGAATGTGTATGGAGTTGATAAAGCAGGAGAGTGCAAATTGTTTTGAGCACAGAGGACCAGAGTGTGAATAAATGATGGTTTATGGGGCATGTTAAGGGTGAGAGAGGTGAATTTAGGTGGAACGTGGGAGGGAATGGAGGTAATGTGGGGCATAGAGGGAAGAATGGGGAGCACAAGGGACAGAAGAAGAGGGACTGAAGCCATATACATGGTAGAACGTGAATGTGTGAATCAGGTTGAGTTCGAGTGGCGACACTCTGAGGGAGAAGGGGAGTGGCTAGAGTGAATGAGGGGCAGACTGGGACCAGACAGGGGTGATGCGGGGCTCCAGGAATGTCCAGAGATCCCAGCATCCATCAACCAGGTGAAGGAGATGCCGCATGTGCATGAATGGAGCTAATGCTGGGCAGAGTAAGAGGGAATAGAAGCAAAAAGAAGACGGCAAGTCACTGTGGGGACTGTGAGCCAAAGGGAAAGACAAAGGTCACAGGTCACATGGCCCCAAGTGAATAAACTGGGGAAACATGGGGACCAGTGTTAGCAAAAAGTGGTGAATTCAGGGCAGAGTGTGATTGGATGAAGGTACTATGGGGCAGAATGAAAACAACTAGACATGAGATCAGGTGCAGAATGGGAGTGGTTCCAGGAGGAACAGGGGTTACACTGGAAATTTCTATGAGTGAGATTGTTTCGAAGAACAAGAGGCAGAGTTAACGGAGTCAACAAAGAGAAAGTGAGGAATGGGGCTGAGCAAGCGTAGAAGGAGAATCTGTGGGTAACCTGAGCTAGTGTCAGGGAATGGGGGTAAATGTGGGAGCGGTGTTGGAGAGAACAAAGGTGAAGAAGGGGCAGCAAGAGAGTGAATGAGGGAGAGAATGAGGCCCAGAGCCCAGGAACCAAGTGGAAGGGTGGGCTACATGAGCATGAATGGGAGCCGCTTCGTGCGGTGTCAAGGAGCAGAGGGGAACGTGGAAAATGAGAGTCTGAGAGTGAGCGGAGGTGAAGTAATACGACATGAGAGAACTGGGGCCATGTGAGGAGAGGGTTAAGGAACTGTGGCCATAGGAGGCCCAGCGTGCAGGAAGGGTAGTGGACAAGAGGCAGTGTAAGTGAACGGTGCAGGGTTGGGGGGTGGGAATGAAAGCTGGAACAAGAATGGAGGCAGAACAGCAGTTAAGGGCACATCTCCGTCACGTGTCGTGTATAATATGTAGTGGAGGGCACAGTGTGATCGAATGGGGCAAACGTGGCCAGATCCCAGGAAATTAGGGCATAGTAAGTGAAGTGAACAGGTGCCAAGAATGGGTAAATGGAGGTAACAAGGGCGGAAGGCGAGGGCATGGTGGCCATATTGTGCAGAGCATGAGAAACCGAGGTGGTAGGAGGCAGTGTGGTGAACCGAGCTGACTGCTGAGCAGAGTGAGGGGAATGGAGGCGATGAGGGGCAGAATGAGTGGAAATGGAGGGAACCAAGTGGTAGAGCAAGATTAAAAACAGGGCAGTGGCACCATGTTAAGGAAAGTGCGGGAATGTGGGCTGAGCGTGAGGCCCAGGGCCTGAGTCCTATCTCTGTGTCTCCAGCTCCTTTCTTCCTGAATCTCTTTCTGACATCTCAGGGTTTCTCCCTGGTTTTGCCCCCTCCCATCTTTATGTACAGGTCAGTATCTTTTTTTCCCTTGTGTGTCCGTCTCTAACAGAGATGGCACTGGGAAAGACAGTGAGGGTGTCCAGTCCTCTGGCTTCTGTGTTCCAGAATCTACTACATGGTGTTTGCTCACAGGGCCCGGAGTTCCAGAATGCCCCTAGTTCTGAACAGGGCAGCATCTGAGTCTAGAGCAAAGAGTTGGATAGGAGGGCCTATGGGTGTTATCATGCAGACCTGCGTCACTGTGATGGTGACTCTGGCCACACTGATGGTCGCTACCGTGGATGCGAAGATCTATGAACGCTGTGAACTGGCAGTGAAGCTGGAGAAGGCAGGCCTCAATGGCTTCAGGGGCTACAGCATTGGAGACTGTGAGATTCCAGTGCCCCAAGTCCCACCCACACCCCGAGCTACCCACCACACTCAGACCCAGGCCCCTCCTTCTCATTTATCACCTCCCTAGGCTAGGGTATGATCCTCTCGGCCACCCCCTGACTTGCTCTAATGTCCTTACCATCATTGCCTTCACAACCGTCACCCTCACCTCTGCCATCAACACCGTCACTACCCTGAGTCATCACAGGGCAACACCCCTTGCCATCCCTCGTATCTCACCAGAATCACCAACATCTACACCACCAGCAAACCAAGATCACCCCCCCCACAACCGAGATGACAACCATCCCCGTACCCTCCCCCTCTCCTACCACCAGCCAGTCCTAGGACTCATGCTTACCTCCTATCTACCCCCTCCCTGCCCCAGGGCTGTGCATGGCACACTATGAGAGTGGCTTTGACACCTCCTTCGTGGACCACAATCCTGACGGCAGCAGCGAGTACGGCATTTTCCAGCTGAACTCTGCCTGGTGGTGCAACAACGGCCTTACACGCACCCAGAACCTCTGTCACATAGAGTGTCAAGGTGAGGCAGCACTGGGGACACCCTGAAGCCTTGCCCAGCCCCACTGCCCAACACATAGAGGGCAAGGTTGCCTGAGCCATACTCTCCAGTAACAAAAGCAGAAAAATTATAGGGAAAGGAGTACAGTTGCCTGGGCTGTCAGAGACACCACCTCCTGTATCCTTACCGACTACATGGAGATTTTGTCCAGGTCAGGAGCACTCAGAAGTCCTATACCTCCCCGAGAATGGAGGCCGAAGGTTTCAGGGACTCAGAAAACAGGAAACTTAGCTCCATGTGGAATGGAAGGGGGAGGTTGTCCTGATTTGGGGTTGAGGCTGTTCAGGCCCTGAGGGAAGAAATGCACATCTGGCTATAGGAACAGAAATAAGGAATATCTGTGCAGAAAGAAGAGAGCTTTCCAGATAAGAGTGTGGTGGTATTGAGGACAAAATGTAATAGTGGTCGTTGTTCGGGGCTGGCCAAAATGGGACTTGGGTTGTCCAAGACAGACCAAAATGGGGACTGAGGTCATTGGGGGCCAGGCCAAATGGAGGTTGAGGCTGTCCAAGTCCTGCTACAGAAACAGAAGAGGTTACCCAGGACTGGCCAGCTTGAAGGATGAGGTTGTCCAGAACTAGCCACCACAGAGGTTGAAGCTGTCGAGGACAGGGTAACATGAATAGTAAGGTTTCTCAAGATTAACTAAAATAAAGGCTAAGGTTGTTCACTTTGAGCTAACATAGAAGCTGAGGTAGTCCAGGACCAGCTATAATGGAAGTTGCAGTCCTGGAATGGTCAACATGGAGGGTGGAGTTATTTATAATGAGTCAAAATGTCAACTGAGGTTGTCCAGGACTGGTCAGCATTGTAGTGGAGATCACTAACCAGTCAGAATGGCAGTGAAGGTCACCCTGGTTGAGCAGCTGGGATCACCTAGAACCAAGCACCATGATGACTGAGGTTGAATGGAACTAGCCAGCATGGAGACTGAGGCCATTTGTAACCAAAGTGGCAGCTGAGGTTATCCAAGACCTGACAACATAGTGTTTGAAGTCACCAAGACTGACCAGCCTTGCAGCTGAGTAGCTTCCCTACCAGCCAGCACGGGGGTTAAGATGATGTCAGACCAGCTGCCTTTGCAGTTGAGATCATCCATAATCACACAAAATTACAGTTGAGGTCATCCAGAACCGGCTAACACAGAGTTTGAGGTTGTTAGGACCAGGCAGTATGAAGGCTGAGGATATTCATAACCAGGCAGGATGACAGTCAAGATCACCCAGGATCTCTCAGTGTGAGTTAAGGTTCTATAGAACCAGCCAACATGGCAGTTGAGGTCACTCCTAACCAGCTGACAAGTGAATCAAGGTCATCTAGAATCAGTCGACGTAGTGGTTGAAATTATTCAGGCTCCAAGGAATCCAGAACCCCTGGGCCCACCATACACTGTCACCCTGTCCCCAGTGCACCAGATCACTATGTCCCTCTCTCCCCTCCCCACCTAGACCTGCTCAACCGCCATATTCTAGATGATATCTTGTGTGCCAGGCAGGTGGTGTCCTCACAGGATGGTATGGCTGCTTGGTAAGTTCATAGGGGTGGCTTGGATCCTGGGCAGCTGGGATAATGCCACTGCCACCCTATCAGCCTGTCCACTTCACCCTCCTCCTCTCCCTTCATTTCCCAGGGATTCATGGACCCGGCACTGTTCTGGCCATGATTTATCTGAATGGCTCAAGGGATGCAATATGCATGTGAAACCTGACGCAAAGAAGGTTAATCATTCGTGACTCGGTTTCCCAGAAGAAGAGATTTTCTTTTCCTTTCTTTTCTTTCTTCTGTGGTTTTAATAAAGAATGGTATCTATAAACTAGACAAGCGTCCTCTGATGCCTAACTCTCTTCATTTTCCCAATGCTTGGAGGTACCCCCCCCATTTAATCACTGCCCACATACATTCAAAGCTCTCATCAGGGACACCATATTGCTTGGGGTGAAGGTAAGAGCATAGCTTCTCCTGGGTTCAAATACCATCTCTACCACTCAGGAGCTATGTTGCATCGGGCAAGGCATTTAACTTCTCTGTGCCTCTGCTTCCTCATTGGCAAAATGAGGGTGATAACGGTAGTACCTACTTCATGGGATTGTTGGGAGAATTAAATGAATGAATGTTTGGAAAGCACCTAGAGTGTCACAAGGCAGTTATCGGTCTGGAGATGGAAGGGTGGGATGAGGAGCTATGAAAATTCGCTTTCCTTAAAAAGCAGTCACTACAGAGTCTTTAATTAAGGTAGATACAGTCTCTCCATGGAAAATAAGATTGATTTCAGCTTACACAGGAAACTCAGTGGGAATTAAAGTGTTCACATTCTCCCACACCCTCCCATATCTCCCTATTCTAACAGTTGGCCCCGCACTCCCTCTTTCATAAGTAATGGTAAATTTTGAATGACAGGGTGGGAATCTAGGCCAGGAATTCAATGGATGCGCAGGGTAGTAATTTCTTTTTTTACAGAATGACTGGATTTGGATCTGTGTCTTGGGCAGAGAATTTAGGAATTTAAACTTGCCACTCTCTTTACTGGCCCCATCTGAAGCAACCACACCTGTGAGGAAGCAGTCCCTCATGCCTTTTGTACTTTTTGATTATGGGTGGATATTCACCTACCCAGAGTCTTGTTTTCAGTGTTTACTTCATCCAGGGTAAGCACAGATGATCATTAAAGCAGATATCCACCAGTGGGAGAATGACCGAGCCCCCCTCCTTAATGCCATTTTGATTTCTCCTGCCTTCAGCCCCAGCCAGCCTGGAGGGCCCAATCTCACACTTCCCTGGAGATCCATAAAGAGTGCCATCACTCTGGGTACTGATTTCTATATTCATCAAAAGCAGCAAAAATGAACTCTGCTGAACTTAAGTAAAAAGTAGATCTCCTAAAATCTTATCAGGTAGCTTAAAAGCCTTAAAAAAATCCTTGAAAAAAGATTATTTATTTATTTGACAGAGAGAGAGAGCACAAGCAGGGGGAGTGGCAGGCAAAGGGAGAAGCAGGCTCCCTGCTGAGCAAGGAACCTGATGTAGGACTCGATCCCAGGACCTTGGGATCATGACCCAAACCCTAGGCAGACACTTAACTGACTGAGCCACCCAGACGTCCCTAAATAAAAAAAATCTTAAAAAAAAACTTATTCCATAGGAGTCCTGTATATAGGGTATGTGTAATGCAGAAACCACCCATGTCCTTTGAGGAAGTGGATTTACAAATCTATTCTTTCACGACCTTACTCCTTAGTCACATCTTTCTCTCTAATGGACGTAGTTTGCCTCCGGTGTCTATTTTGGTTTTTCTGGTGCCTCTCCAGCTGGTCAACTTGCCAGACTTCTAGAAAGAAGAAGAAGAAGAAAGCATTCCCTGTGAATCTACCTTTTGTTAGAAGCAGACCTCTGAAAGGTTGACTTATTTTCTTTTAGGTCTAGATACCAGTCAGAAAGAAATTCAAATTATATGTCTCTTATATTCCTAGCTTGAGGGAAAGAAATCACAAATTGCTCTAAAAGAAATTGGAACAAGAAAGTAATGATAAATACAAGTGAATCTGGGGTGCCTGGGTGGCTCAGTGGGTTAAAGCCTCTGCCTTCGGCTTGGGTCATGGTCCCAGGGTCCTGGGATCGAGCCCTATGTTGGGCTCTCTGCTCAGCGGGGAGCCTGCTTCCTCCTCTCCCTCTGCCTGCCTCTCTGCCTACTTGTGATCTCTGTCTGTCAAATAAACAAAATCTTTTAAAAAAATACAAGTGACTTTGATTAAGAAAAATACCTTAAAATGGAAGAGAGAAGGTGAAAATAGGTTTAGAAAGCCATGAGTAGGGAAAAGGGATTGTTGAAAGGTAGTAGATCCAGGATTTGGAGGAAGGGAACTCAAACAGAAGAGCCTTCCAGGAAGGCTGAAAATGGGACATGTAGGTGGCTCAATCGGTTGGGCGATGGACTCTTGGTTTCAACTCAGGTCATGATCTCAGGTTCATGAGATCAAGCCCCATGTCCGGCTCCACACTGAGCATGGAGCCTACCTGGGATTCCCTCCCTCTCCCTCTGTTCTGACCTGCTCATGTGCACACCTGTGCATATGTGCACCTGTGCATGTGCGCTTGCTCTCTCTCGCTCTTAAAAAAAAGAAGGAAGGCTAAAAACAACTGACATGACCAAGAGAATAAGCAGAAGGACAAGGCAGATCACAGTCTAGTTCCTCACCACTCCATTCCAAGATTACCATGAGACGGCAACTCACAAGAGTAACAATTTGGAGTTAGCGAAAAAAGAAAAAAGAAAGGTATATCCTTGAGGAAGACATTTCTCAGTTTCTAAGGACATCCAGCCCTCACTCACCCACTGGGGTCTTACTCATCATCTCCATCTGTCCGTTTCTTATTTACCTGTATAACTCAAACTTGGAATTTCTCTATGATCTGAAGTCCTCTCTTCTCCAAACAGGTGATCACATCTGGTTTGGTAACAGGACACCCTGTAATGGAAATGATAGATGACTTAGGCACATCTGTGTGGGTTTCATGGCCTCAAGGCGATTAGGAAGGTATATCTTAGTAAGTATAAATTTCACACAAGAGATGAAAATACAAACACCTAAACGGTGTTTGTACCCCTAAAAGGGATCAGGAATCTTGAATCCCTAGAACTTGAGGTCAAAGTATTGAAACACTTCAGAGGTCGAAAGTGATCCTATTTGGTACACTGTGAGTTACTCAGGAAACCCATGCTCACCCACAGAGACCAAATGGCTATAGCTCTCTAGCATCACAGCTCTGTAAAGTATCCTCTGAGAAGATTCCAGATGATTCCACTCCTCCTGGGTGAGGTCCACAGCTACATCCTCAAATGACACCGATCTCCGTCATCGCATCCTCCTACTCGATCTGTTCAATGATGATATATTTTAAGATAAATGGTGATATATTTTATATTTTATATATTTTAAGATGAATGGAATATTCTTTAGAGAGAGGCTATTGTTTAATAATTTCCAAAAAGTTTTCTCTGAGATATTTGCAATAGCTATCTCTAGCAAAGGACTTTTATACTATGGAAACCATAAAGAACTCCTACAAATCATGATAAATATAGGCAATCTCATAGAAAAACTAGAAAAAGATGTGAATAGATACTTCACAAAAGATGATATCCAACTGACTAGTAAACATATGAAAGGGTGCCCAAGGGGCGCCTGGGCAGTTCAGTCAGTTAAGTGTCTGTCTTCAGTTCAGGTCATGATCTCAGGGTCCTGGGGGATCAAGCCCCACATTGGGCTCCTTGCTCAGTGGGGAGCCTGCCTCCCCCTCTACCTGCCATTCTCCCTGCTTGTGTTCTCTCTCTCTCTCTCTCTCTTTCTCTCTTATAAATAAATAAAATAATTTTATTTAAAAAGGGTGCTCGACATCTTCAGTCACCAGGGAAATACAAATTTAAACCACAATGAGCTATAACTATATACCAACAGAGTAGCTAAAATTAAGACCAAAGACCCAAAAGTTGGCAAGGGTATGGAGCAACTGGAACTCTCACATATTATTGGTGAGAGTAAACCATAAAAGAGTACAGCCACCTTGGAAAACATTTTAGCTGAATCTATTAATGCTGAGTGTACACCTAACCGAGGACGCAGCAATCCCACTCCTACATATGTATCCAATGGAAATGCACACACATCAAGACATGTACGAGAATATCCATGGAAGCATTATTTGAAATAGCCAAAATGGGGACATCCACCAGCCGTAGAATGGATAAACAACGGTGATGTATTTATACAATAAAACAGTACACAGTAACGGGAAAAACTAATGATACACAAAACGACAAGGATGAATCTCAAAAACATTATAACTGAAAGAAGCCAGACATAAGGGTGCCTGGGTGGCTCAGTGGGTTAAAGCCTCTGCCTTCAGTTCAGGTCACGATCCCAGGGTCCTGGGATCAAGTCCCGAATTGGGCTCTCTGCTCAGCGGGGAGCCTGCTTCTCCCTCTCTCTCTGCCTGCCTCTCTACCTACTTGTGATCTCTGTCTGTCAAATAAATAAATAAAATCTTTAAAAAAAAAAAAAGAAGCCAGACATAAAAGAATAATGTATGATTCCACCTATGTGACATTCAAGAACAGGCAAAATAATCTATGCTTAGAGAAATCAGCTGTTATCCCGGAGTCAGGGGATGGTGATTGGAAGGGGCGTGAAGGAGGCTTCTGGGTGACCTCGCACTTCCTGTTTCTTGATTCAGGTACTGGTTACCCAGGTGTTTCCAATTTGTAGTTCATGAAAGTACACAAATTATAAACTTTTCTCTGTATGCTATGCTTCAACAAAATGTCAACCCCCAAATTCTTATCTAAGTAATATTCCCATAATATTTCCATAAAAAGGTGTGCCTGGGTGGCTCAGTTGTTAAGCGTCTGCCTTCGGCTCAGATCATGATCCCAGGGTCCTGGGATCAAGTCCCACATCAGGCTTCTTGCTCAGCGGGAAGTCTGCTTCTCCCTCTGCCTCTCCCCGCTGCTTGTGTTCCTTCTCTTGCTGTCTCTCCCTCTCTCTCTCTCTCTGCATCATATAAATAAATAAATAAAATATTTCCATAAAAAATAAGACAAAGATAATAAGAACAACAACAACAAAAGATTTAAGAACCTGTAGGAAAGGGACACCTGGCTGGCTCAGTCGGTAGAGCATGATGGTTGATCTCAGGGTTGTGAGTTCAAGTCTCACCTTTGGTGTAGAGATTACTTAAAAAAAACTCTTAAAAAAAAAAAAAGAACCCACATGAAAAAGGGTTCTTTTGTAAGGGTTCTTTTGCCATGTATGTAAAAGAACAATTCACCAACAAAGGAAAGAATATGAAAAGACACTCAACCTCATTGCCAACTACATAAACACAAACAAAAGAAATATTTTAACTATCAAATGGCAAGGACTAAAAACATGACAAAAGGATTAGAAAGGGTATTTTCATTCATAGAGCTGGAGTATTAGGCTAAATGAAGTAAGGCAGTCAGAGAAAAACAAATACTATGTGATCTCATTCATAGGTGGAATTTAAGAAACAAAACAAACAAAGGAAAAAAAGAGAGAGAGCCAAACCAAGAAACAGAGTCTTAAGAATAGAGAACAAACTAACGGTCACCAGAAGGGAGAGAAGTGGGAGAATGGGGGCAGTAGGGGATGGAGATTATGGAGTTTGCTTCTCATGATGAAAAAAATAAAACAATGGTGCCTGGGTGACTCAGTCAGTTAAGCATCTGCCTTCGACTCAGGTCAGATCTCAGGGTCCTGGGATCAAGACCCTGTGCTGGGCTCCCTGCTCAGCAGGAAGCCTGCTTCTCCCTCTCCCTCTGCCCCTCCACCTGCTTGTGTGCCCATGCGCTCGCTCACTCTCTTTCTCTCTCTCTCTCGATAAATAAATAAAATCTTTTTATTTTATTTTTTTTAAAGATTTTATTTATTTATTTGACAGAGAGAGATCACAAGTAGACAGAGAGGCAGGCAGAGAGAGAGGGAGGGAAGCGGGCTCCCTGCTGAGCAGAAAGCCCGATGCGGGACTCGATCCCAGGACCCTGAGATCATGACCTGAGCCGAAGGCAGCAGCTTAACCCACTGAGCCACTCAGGCGCCCCAAATAAAATCTTTTTAAAAAATAAAATACTTTGTAGAGTGCCCGGTACAGTGCAGGCTCTTTCTATGTTAGCTCCTGTTTCTGCCACTAATACCATCCTCCTCCTTATCCTCTGTATTATCGTTATCATTACTCCTACTACCTTCATCAATATTACCATGTAAAGAGAAAACAGGGAGTTGCAAAACAGTTAGTATATTATGAGCAAATTTTAGCAAAGGAAGGTCAACAGCAACAATCTGCTTTTATGTGTATGTAAATATAAAGAAGAAGGGACAGAGAGGGGTGTCGATGGAAAATAAATTTACCACAGAATTGGTTATCTGGAATGAGTGATGATATGACACCTAGAGATATTTTCTCTTTTTAGACTACATTCCTAAGAGTCTGAGTTTTTTGGTACCACTTCTTTTGTAGTGAGAGGGGGAAAAATGACAAAACGAAATAGACATTTTTATAAAGGGCAAAAGGGAGGGGTGCCTTGGTGGCTCAGTCGGTTAAGCACCTGCCTTTGGCTCGGGTCATGACCCCGGGGTTCTGGACCGAGCTCCGCATCAGGATCCCTGCTCAGTGGGAATCGGCTTCTCCCTCTCCCTCTGCCCTTCCCCCCACTTGTGCACTCCTGCTCCCTCAAATGAATTAAATAAATAATACATACATACATACGTACGTACATACATGCAAAGGGCAAAAGGGAAAGAACCGAATACAGTCAGGGACATCATGAATTCTCAGCCTGAAAAGGAAAAAGTCAGATCTTTGGATTGCTCCAGCTTTGCCGAAATCCCAGATGAGAAAAAAAACAAAGTATTGGGGGGAGGTGGGTGGGAGGATGGGTGAAATAGAGAAAGGAGATTGAGATGTACAAACAGCCTGTTATAAATAAGTCCAGGAGAGAAAAGTACAGCATAGGGAATATCGTCCATAATACCGTGATAATGTCGTCGGGGGACAAATGGTGACTACGCTTATTTCCGGTGAGCACTCCGTAAGGTAGAGAATTATCAAATCAATATGTTGTATGCCTGAAACTAATATAACATTGTATGTTAAATTATACTTCAATTTAAAGAAATACTGGAAAATAATTTGGAGGGTATGGGGTTTACTGCTTCTTTCTTTTTTTAAGATTTTATTTATTTATTTATTTGGCAAGGAAAGAGAGAGACAGTGAGAGAGGGAACACAAGCAGTGGGAGAGGGAGAAGCAGACTCCCCACTGAGCAGGGATCCCGATGCAGGGCTCAATCCCGGGACCCCCGGGATCACAACCCGAGCTGAAGGCAGATGCTTAACCAACTGAGCCACTTGGATGCCCCCATTTACTGGTTATTTCTTGACCCTTAAGGTTTTATCCCTGTATTGAACCTGAACATGACAGCTGCTTGTACTGACATGGCTCTGGTTTCCTGAAGTGTCACATCCCTTTAGTTCTGTCCCAACAGGACACCTTTGGCTGGTATGAAGATATATTTTAAGTCACATGCAGAGCAATCGTCTCCCTGTGATTATCACAAGATTGGTGATGAGGATATGGCTAACCCACTAGAGAATTATTTTGAAACCTCAACATCAGGAAATCTTTGCTTCTGAGGGAATGGCTTACTTTCTCTCTATAGGTAAGATAAATAAAATGAGTGCTTCTCCCCTATATGTCACAGCTTCCAAGAAGCTCAGAAAAAGAACTGTAGCTCAATGTAATTATGTAAGATCCTATGATCTACATGTATACATATCAACCTTGCTTTGATATTGCTCTATTTCCCTAATCCTAACTTTTCATGTGTTTATACATGCTCATTTTATGGTATAAATAATGCCAACCCCATATATAAACCTTATTATGTGTGTGCCAGGCATTGTTATAAACACTTAATTTTTAATTTTCCATTTTATTTCTTTTCAGTGTTCCAGCATTCTTTGTTTATGCAACAGACCCAGTGCTCCATGCAATACGTGCCCTCCATAATACCCCCCACCAGGCTCACCCAACCACCCACCCAACACTTAACTTTTTAAAAAGATTTTATTTATTTAATTGAGAGAGAGCGCGCACACAGAGGGAGAGAAGAGACAGAAGCAGATTCCCCACTGAGCAGGAAGCTCAAGGCAGGGCTGGATCCTAGAATCTTGAGATCATGACCTGAGCTGAAGGCAGACACTTAACCAACTGAGGCACCCACGTGCCCCCTAAACACTTAATATTATCTCAATTGATCTTCACTAGCAATCATAAAGGCTTAGGTATCATCATCATCATTTTACAAATGGGGAAACTAAGCTACAGAGAAGTTAGAGACCTGCTTAAGCTCACAAAGCTATTAAGAGTCTGGGCTCTTAACCACTAGGCATTACTGCTTCTTTGCTTCTGAGTGTTTTAACATGGGTCAGGGAGGGGAGAGCAAATAAGAACTTACCCGGAAATTAGTCATGTCTGCCTTATGGAGAGTGGGCAGTGGCCTAGAAAAGCAAAGCTTTGGAGAGCGGAGAGAAGAAAAGAGAAGAGTTGTAACAGCATGGAAAACTGGAAAGTTCACCACATCATCAGGCTAGCAATCCATAAACGCCAGCTGGTTAAATGACCCTGCTGTAGCCAAGACAAAACAGAAAAGGACATCTGTTTGCCCCACAGAGCCCCATCGTTCCACAACACCGCTCTGTCACGGAATCCACAGACTTCCCAGTACTCACCCTCAACCATCACTGACTCTAGGCACCCCACATCACCCCCAAATACCCTCATTATTCACCCCACGGACCCCAGGACGCACCCCACACACCCCACCCCCTTGACACCCCATTCCTCACTCCACACCCCCACTCCACAGGCCCCATCACTCACCTTAGAGCCCCCCCCCCCATCGCATACCCCCAGCGATTCTCACGACCCATCTCAGAGGCCCCCTCCAAGTACTCACCCGGCGACGTCGCGTCTTTACACAGCCCGCACTCGCACGTGCCGCTCCGCCCGCAGACCCGCGCTGTCTCCCCGCCGCTCCGAGGGAACCGTCCGCCCTCCATCCCCTACTCTTCCTGTTTCCCCCTGGATTCTGGCGAGCTCTGCCTGGAGTTTCCCCCAAATCAGTCACCAGTTCCTCCGACAACCACTCTCTCAGTCCTTCACCCAGCCGTCGGCAGGGTCCTGCTCTGTCCCTCGCATGCGCAGTGGCCCTCGCTGAAGCCGTCAGGGCCAGTAGCCAGTGGCCGTGCCGGGCGTGCCTGTTTCTGCGGCGGCCGGGCGTGAAGGCAGCGCGGGGCCGGGGGGGGGGGGGGGGGGGGGGGGGGGGGGGGATAAGGAAATGGCCGCGCCGATAAACCGGTTTGTCAGGGAGCAGACATCTTTCGAAGGTGCCAATTCCGTACAGCGGAGATAGGTGTCTCTGAAAGTTCAGAAAAGATGAGGTTTCGGGAGGACTTTGAAAATTTGCCGTGACTGAGGCCCTAGACGCAAAGGCTAGTGATGGGAGAGTTTTGCGCGTGGTTGCGGGTGTGATGGGAACTGATCTGTACCAACGTAGGGCTGAGGACGAGACCACCGCCTCCGTGGGAAGATACCACGGCGAGGTGGGAGTGAGGAGACCGGGAGTATTACAGATAAACCCGGGAACTATTAGTGGGAAGAAGGGAAGCAAACTGGGAATGATCCCTTCCTCTGCCACTGGGGCAATAGAGAGAAAGTGTAGGGGTGCAAGAACGTAATACCGGGGAGATGGGGGCGTGGAGAACTGGGGGAGTACAGTCCTTCTGATAGATACGATTCAGCTAGCCTTCCTCTTTGGGAGATACCACTAGCGCAGATGGGGGAAATTCTGTCCTCGCAGAAAGAGACAGGTGAAGAAAGTGACAAGGGTAAACAGAAGTGCAAGGAGAGCCAGAGACAGAAGCCTGGGAGGATTGGGACGACAGGGAGGTCTTAGTTATGATGAGGGAGCAGGAGGCTGGCTGAGAACAAAGCAAAAGCTGGCACCTTGCACCCCCTCTCCACCCACTCCCCTCGGTAATATGTGTGACATTCTTCAGGCACCTCTGACTGCCCTAAAAGAAAAACAAATAGTTAACTTGCAGAGATCACAATCCTGCAAGGCAGGAGTCTCCCTTGGTTTACAAATGTCCTAGAAATTTACAACAAGGAAGTTATCTTATCAATAGCCCAATTTCCAGAGACACATAACTCAGTTCCTCCAGCCCTAACATCACCCTCCCCTCCATAAACAAAACTGAAGGAGGCTGAGGTAGAAGGAAATGTAAATAAAGTTAAATTTCTTCTAAACCTAAATCTCACGAACAAGAACACTTGATAGGAGGAATGTGACATTCCACCAGGAAACTCCCAATTGTCTTCATGTTAGTGCCCCATTAGAGGGGAAAACGGCCTTGGCGTGATAATAACCAGGCTTCAATATCCTGACAGTCTTCTTTACCCTGATAGCCCTTCTGAACACCCCCTTTGTCCTCACCTACCCAACTCCTGTGTATATAATCAGCCACTCCTCAGGATAGCAGGGCAGCAGCTCTTTCTGCCCACGGGTCCTGTCCCCGTGCTTTAATAAACCACCATTTTGCACCAAACATGTCTCAAGAATTCTTTCTTGGTCATCGGTTCCAGACCTCACACCACCGAACCTCACCTAGGTTCTAGAACTTCATCAGTTAGAGACTAAATAAGAATCCGAACCTGACAGTGATCTGCCAAGCCCACATTCCATCCCCCTTCTAGGCATCTGCTCCCAGAAAGTTGTGGGAGGGTCGAGATGCCAGGGTTCGAGTCCTGTAGTCCCAGGTCCCTGGCCTCTGGGCCTTAGTAACCTATGGAGGGTCAACCAGGACAGTGTGCTCAGATTCTGGACCTTAAACACTCTACCCTATTAATCACACTCTATCACTTAGTCATGTGAAAGGCAAAATGTACATGATAATTAAGGAGATGATTTTTTTTTCAGGCTATTACAATGGGGAAAACTCATTAACGAGGAACATCTCAAAGGCAAGGAAAGGGACCTGGGGTTTTATAGAGTGTTAAGTAACAAAACTTAACCAAGTAAATTTGAAAATCTAATTGGTTTTATTAAATGGTTCATGAATCGGCCAGAAGCCGCCCCTCCCCACCAAGTAGAGAGGTGCTCTAAGGAGTTGTAAAAAATGGCACATTTGTACAGAAGGATGAGGGCAAGAAAGTTATTAACAAAAGAAAAGGATTGTTTCATGCCAGGCCTCACTCTAGGGGGAAAAGCAAGGTGCCTTTTTTTTTTAAACATATAATGTATTATTTATTTCAGGGGTACAGGTCTGTGATTCAGCAGTCTTACACAATTCACAGCACTCACCATAGCACATACCCTGCCCAATGTCCATCACCCAGCCACCTCTCCCTCCCACCCCTCTCCCCTTCAGTAACCCTCAGTTTGTTTCCTGAGATTAAGAGTCTCTTATGGTTTGCCTCCCTCTCTAGTTTCATCTTGTTTCATTTTTCCCTCCCTTTCCCTATGATCCTCTGTCCTGTTTCTCAAATTCCTCATATCAGTGAGATCATATGATAATTGCCTTTCTCTGATTGATTTATTTCACTTAGTCTAATATCCTCTAGTTCCATCCACGTTGTTGCAAATGGCGCAATTTCGGGTTTTGATGGCTGCATAATATTCCATATACCACATCTTCTTTATCCATTCATCTGTTGATAGACATCTAGGTTCTTTCCACAGTTTGGCTATTGTGGACATTGCTGCTATAAACATTGAGGTGCACGTGCCCCTTTGGATCACTACATTTGTATCTTTAGGGTAAATACCCAGTAGTGCAATAAAAGCAAGATGTCTTATCCTACAGATTACCTCGTCTTTTTTGGGAGTGGTATGGAAAGGGCTCAAGTGGCAGATTCATTGATGTGGATTGAAAAATTCCTGGCTATCTGGTTAAGACTATACTTCTTCAGGAGGTTGGAACTGCAATTAGATTATGTCTTTGGGGGATGCAAAAATGCAGATTGAAAGGGATAAATGCACCCCAATGTTTATAGCAACATTATCAACAAAAGCCAAACTATGGAAAGAGACCAAACGTCCATCGACTGATGAATGGTAAAGAAGATGTGGTATATGTATGTGTGTGTGTAATATATATATATGTGTGTGTGTGTGTGTGTGTGTGTGTGTGTGTGTGTGGCACACACACACATAGATATAGACAGATAGATGTATATATATGGTGGACTATTACTCAATCCTCAAAAAGAATGAAACCTTGTCATTTGCAACAGCATGGATGGAGCTAGAGTATATTACGCTAAGTGAAACAAGTCAGTCAGAAAAAGACAAATACCATATGATCTCCCTCACATGTGGAATTTAAGAAAGAAAACAGATGAACAAAGGGGAAGGAGGAAAAAAAATAAGGAGGGAGGGAAACCACTGTGACTCCTAATGATAGAGAACAAACTGAGGGTTGATGGAGAGAGATGGGTGGGGGATGGGCTAGATGGGTGATGGGTATTAAAGAGGGTGACAAACCCTGGGTGTTGTAAGTGATGAATCACTGAATTCTACTCCAGAAACCAATATCGCACTGTATGTTAACAAAATGTAAATAATTTTAAAAAGATTATGTCTTTGGGACTATATTTGGGAATTCAGTCTAAGTGACACCATTTTGAACCTATGGTTTGGTTTGTTTTTTTTTTAACATGAGGCAGATTAAAAAAAAAAAGTCATCCTTGAGTCAGGAAGGACAGAGACTGGTCTTACCTTGGAATATGCAAAGGCATTGGGAATTGCTATGGACTGAATTGTGTCCCCTTCAAAACACATACATTGAAGACTTGGCCCCCAAAATGATGATATTTGGAGATGGGACCTTTGGGAGGTTAATTAAAGTTAGATGAGATCATACAGGGGGGCCCAGATTGGATGGGATTAACGTCCTTAGAAGAGACACCTCTGCCACACAACAAAGAGGTCATGTGGGGACACACTGAGAAGGTGGCTCTCAGAAAGTCTGAAAGAGAGTTCTCTCCAGGAATCAAATCGGCTGGTGCCTAGGTCTTGGACTTCCCAGCTTCCAAAACTGTGAGAAACTAAATTCTGTTTTTAAGCTCCTCAGTCTGTGGTATTTTGTTACGGCAGCTCGAGCTAATACTGGGAACTTTGCGGTTCTCCACTTCCCGGAACACGAATGAGTGGGGGTATTTCTTCTCCATCAGTGCTTTCCAGAAGAACAGGACTCTTTCAGCTATAAAGTCTGAAACTGCCAGGCCCCTCCATTCCAGCTCACCTTTGTCCCTCCTGGCTCCCATTCCTTCCTACTCTACCAATCATTCAAATCTATTCCCTCCCACTGTGCCCCAGATTTCCCCATCCGGTCCCACTGTTTACTCACTTCGCATTCACTCTGCTTTGTGGCCACCAGTCACCCATACTGTACCCCATATTAACACCTTTAAAAAAAAGTCCCACAAACAACATTCTAGTGCAGAAGCACAGAAACAAACAGAAAAATCATTTTCCCAATTAAGCATGCCCAGCTGTCCAGGTAGTGGTGATGTTTTCAGCTTGATATGGTTTAAGATGCTAGTGACTTTGATACAGCATAAATACATGTGTGATCTCATGTGCAATTCCTTACACACCTAGCTTCGTTCTTCCCTATTGTCTCCTCTTGGAGTTATACCTGATTTTATCACCAGTTTTCATTCAAACCCATCGAGGGATAAGGTAATTCTGATTATGTTTCTTGGCCAGGAATCACTTGATCCTAAAGGTCTTGTGAGAAGATATGACGAAGAACAAAATCAATTGCACATGCCACAATAGCAGGGAAAGGGAGAGAGAATGAACACCTTTTTTATCACAATAAAATACATATAACATGGAATTTATTATTTTTACCATTTTGAAGTGTACAATTCAGTGTCATTTAGTACATTCCCAATGGTCTGCAACCATGACCACTATCTAGCTACAGACTAACTTCATCACTCTGAAAGGAAACTCTACCCATAAAGCAGTCATTCCCCATTCTCCCCTGTGCCTTCAGCTCCTGCTTCCCACTAATCTGTTTTCTGTCTCTATGGATTTGCCAGTTCGGGATTTTCATATAAATAGAATCGTATACTACGTGGCCTTGT